TTTCAGTGGAATTACACTAGGGATCATTAGTGGCTGTTTTCTAGGGCACAGAAGACCATAATTACGCAGAATAGTCCAGAAGTGTTTCACAAGAGCAGGCACATTTACTGGAGGAGGCTGTCTTGGGTCAACTTTTGACCTTTGTTTCTTCTCAGGATTATCATCTCCCTTGAACTCAGGAGACAGAGGAGTGCTGCACTTCAGCAAGCTTTGCTTTTGAGGAGAGATAGAACTAATTGCCCCTAAACATATGCAAGTTCAAAAAACACACAAAAAAGCTTATTTAAGGGACTACCTCAAAAGGTAGCAGCACAGCAAGGACTGGGCCTTTTCTCTTGTCATAAAAAGTCGTGACAAGTCTGACAGATGCATCTGGGCCTTAGTTTAAGACACTATCACACTATATGTAGGACTGCAAATTATTATTCTTATGAAAAAAGGTTATGGAAGTTGTTTCAAAATTGGCAAGACTGATAGTTAGAACTAATCAACTCACAAAACAGGGAGTGAAGAGGTGACATGGAGTAAGCATAATGATTTATGAAAAGGATGCTAAAAGGTTTACTTGCTGTAATAAAATGTCCTCTGATACTTAAACTTTTGATGCAACATTAAAGCCAAATGCAGCACTAGTAGCAAAGGTTTTCTTTGCTTATACGGTATTAATTCTACTGTGTGCATTTGAGAAGCTATGCATTATTTCCTTGCTAGCACTAAATGTAAACAGCTTAAAGCCCTCAGGCTTCACTGTCCTGAAGCATACAAGTGGAATAAATGTAAGCATGTAATAAATGTTACCATGTAAGATTGCAATGCACCACTTTTATCTACCATCACTGTGTCTCCTGCATTCAGACATTTGGCACAATTTCTTTCTGTCCTGTCCAACAGTTGTTCACTTATTTATGTCCTCCCTAAGGTCTGTGCACAAAACTGTGACTTGTTTTTTTCAGTTTTTGCATGATGCAAAACTGATGCAAATTCAGTTGGTTTTCCTGTGCTTGAACAAACTAAACAAAGTGAAGCTGCAAATTATTTCTGCAATCCCAATTCTCAGTTCTGTGCAGAGAAACAAACCACCTGAGAGCACTGGCAACTTAGAGGATCTCAAGCCCAGTGCCCTTTCCACTTCAGTAACAGAAAGCCTTTTTAATGATATGATCTAATTTCTGCTGAAGGATTTAGCCCTGAAGAAATGGTTCTCTTGCAGTAAATGAAGGATTACTTATACCAGACAGTACATAGCATAGCTGCTGCTCTGTCAGTGAAGGGGTTCTTTCTAAAAGTACAGCATATCCACTGTATTTGCAGTAGTCACAATATTCACATATTCCAGTATGGCAATGAGCAGTACAAACACCTGTGTTTTTGCAGTAGTGTATGTTGCCACTCTCAGAGCTCTTTATCATTTGGACAATATCTAATCATACAGCACAACTGTAGTGCATGATTGTTGCACTACTTCTCTGTTGCATGTTGCACTATGCAGAGAAGAGTTAAAGCTCATAGCAGACAATGAAGGAGAAACAATGCTGAAATACTGTCTTGTGGCTGTTTTAATCATGGGCTGTTAAGCAAATGCCCAATATTGTTGAATAGGAGTAGCTCATACAGGTACGTATTTCTGGGCTCCATCCTCATGCAAACCTTAGTTTAGCACACTTGGGAAACACCTCCTATTCTTCCTGGGTTAAGATTTTGCAAGATTTTTTTAAGAAGCATAATCCAAATTTCATAGCTATGGAGCACAGATGGACAGATGGTAGCAAACTCTCTTTTGTTTCCAGTTTGCATCTGGCTCTGGTTTGCATCTGTCTGGGTTGCTTTGGTGTGGGCTGTCTTATATCCAGGAGCTGTGCCTGAGTTCCCAGCACAGCTCTACCATTGCCTCACTACCCAACCTTGGTTTCATTATATGTGCCGAGGCCTTCCCTACTTGTTTGTGATGAAAATCCCTCCTTGGGAAATGTTTGCTCAAAGCAGGTGAGAGGTTCTTCCATCTCTGCCCACTGCTTCTCTCCTACAGCAGTTGTGTGGCCGGGAAGAAAATGCTTCCTGCACAGCAGGATTGTGACCAGCATCCCCTGGTGTATGCCTGCCTGTTAGCCTGTTGTATCTGCAGTCAGTGCATAAATGCATACAGCCTCAGCAGCTTGGCAAATAGACTCTATGCAGTTTAAGAAATACATTTATAAATGTTTCCCTTTCTCGGTCCTCTTGTCTGAATTCCTCAGCATAGTATTTAACAAATGTCTTAATTCTCATCTTAAAAAGGAGAGCCAGAAACATCAAAGCTTTCAGTTTTCCTGTTTCAGATAAAATATGCTGACATTTCACCCAAGAGGAAGGATTTTTAGTAGATCACAGCATTCTTGTCTCTAAATATGTCTTTTAAAAAGCCCATTGATGCTTTCCAGTTTCAAATTCATGCTATTAATAGGTTAAAAAAAAAAGGCTTTAGGGGAAAGAAATCATGTGATTTTGTAGCTTAAGTGTTTCATATAAACAAAGACCAAAACAAAATCTGTACAAAATATCTTACTTTTAGTGTACAGCAGTTGTACTGTACGGACTTGCTTCTCTGTGTGAGCATCAGCATAGACTCTCTGTGAAACCACATTGAGAAAAGCCTCAGTTTTATCTGTTCTCCTGGAGTAGGAGAGGAGTTAGTGCTAACTTAATGTCTTCAGTGCCAGTGCTGTCCAAGCAGCACTTTGTCAAAGCCTTTATTTATTTATTTATTTTTGCTGGAGCCATATCTGATCCAGCTTTAAAGCAGAGAATGCTGTCTTCATCTTTAGAATTTGGTCTTTAGAAACTTAGGGGGTTTTTTTCAACTGAGTGCCAGTCAAGATTTCTGATTGAAGACCACAGCTGAGTAAGACACATGCAACGTAGTTCCTTGTGCAGCTGGTCCATGTTTGAAAGATAAGGCAGCAATTTGCTAGAGAGCAGTCAGCCCTCACTCGGCTTTGCACTGGATCTAGCCCAGCAGGTACCCACTGAGCTGTGCTATTGAGGCTTTAAAGGCCAGAGGACACACTGTTAAAAGTTTAGCCTCTCAAGACCTGTAAATCCATCTTTGTCTCACTTTGTTTCTTTGAACATGTGATGACCTGAGAGTCCTCTGCTGAGGGGACATTTCTATAGCATGGTGAGTTTGAACAAGGTAATGAAATTTCTGGCTGGTAATCAGCTCAGCTAAACACAAAATATTCACTACTAGCACATGAAATGTGACAGAAGGTACTAATAGATGGTAGTGTCGGGACAAGGAGTAGCAAACTGCAGAAACTGTGGCTGGAGATAGCCACTCATACTGTTTTGGCAACTAACAACTTGGAAGCCATGAGCAAAGCTGAGTTCATCAAGGTAAAGTATGTCACTAGCATCAGCAGGTCTTAGCTGTTGGACATGGCTGCGTGTGACAAGAGCATGAGACCTTTTCTGTTATGCAGAGGTCCTAATTCACATAGAAATCACTTTAAATCCACCTAGACACCCTGTCATGCAAAGCACAGTTAAAAACAGTGAAAGCTTGAGTAATTTATAAAGTATAATTTGTGTGTGCATTTGGTATTGCTTTATGTCTGCTGCCTTACTAAAATCTAATTGCCTGACATCAAATAGGTCACGGAGAGACAAAAATAGTTTGTGCATAGATACTATGTCTATATATATACACACACACACTCAAAAACCAGCAAGAAAACCTAGTCTGTCATGTCAAAAATGTTTCTATTTTAGGCAAGGTTTGAAGCTTGCTGTTGGTGGTAAATGTTTTCCCTTTATACATAGTTTGCACAAGTCAGGTTCTATTCCAGCAACAACCATGACATTCAAAAGACACAAAAGACACAGCACGTTTGGGCTGCCTCTGAAATCCAGTTTCCTTGAACTGATGATTTCCTGATTAACTCCTCTTTGCAGAAGAGGAGCTGGTTCCTTGAACTAGCATTGCCAATCACTTTGCAAATTCAAAACCAAGCCTCCCCTTTACTAATCAATTAAAAGGGAAAGTTTGGATAGTCCCCTAGATTACCATTTTTTCCACCAGCTCAATTTCCTTCTTCCCAAGGGGCAAAGTCCTGTTTAGCTTTGGGCTCCTGGTGTTCCTCATCCTATCTGCTGCATTCCTCTGTCATATTTAGACCAGACAAGGAGCATAGGCGTGTATGCTGTGTAAAGCATGCCTTTTAACCAGTCCACCTCCCCTGGTGAACTAGCCTGGAAAAGCTGCAGCTGCGTTAAACAGGAACCAGGTGAGGTTGTAGCCACATTTTTAGTGCAGAAATCACAACAAAACTCCCAGGAATAATTCTGTTGGGTGAAGGATATTGATGCTTTTTGCAACAGTGTTGCTGTGTCCTGGCAACCCTTCCACAGTTTCTGAAAGACTTTTGTTCATTTGTTCTAATTTTTGTATGCCGAAGAGATGATTTGCATGCTCATGTTTATGTATACGTGTCTGTCTGTCTGCCTGTAAATATATGGAAACACATGTGTTGTATAAATAGAAAACATCTTTAATTGATTTAATAGGAGACTAATTTTATACTTCATGAAAAACATTACATTTAGAGCACACTGATCTTTTGTTTTTAAATCTTTAAAAAGTTTATGACTTTAGTCCTTCTAGCACATTATTTATACTTTATTAGTCACAAGAAATCCACACTTCAGTTCAAAAATTTCAGTTCTTGCAGGACTTGCTGATTTGCTAATTTTAAACTCTTGGTTTTATTAGGAACTAAAAAGAACTTCACGTTAAGGCACTGATAGTAAATAAATTGCATACTGTGAAACTGACACTCCTCAATGTGAAAGACCTGACATCTAAATAAACAGCCGATTGTTTGGCTGTTATCAACTGTCTGAAGCAGTAAGCAGAAATTCAATGGGGACAAGCTAATATTCATAAGAAAAGACAGCTTCTTCTCAATCTTCAGATAGTTTTTGTTCAGTCTATACCTAAGATACGGGATTTTTTTACATTGCAGTCAAAAGCTCTTCGGGAAAAATGGCTGCTACAGGGAATTCCTGCTGGCTCTGCAGAAGAGGAAGAAGCCAGAAGGAAGCAGTCAGAAGAGGATGAGCTGAAGGTGAAAAAGCTGGAAGAAAACATACACAGGTAGGGACAGCTTCCTTTAGCTTTGCCTAAGAACAGTCACTCCCATGAAGGCTGGAGATTTTCCTTGCCCAGGTCCCCATCTCTGGCAGCAACTGTGGCAGCTGTCCAGGCAAGACCGTAAAAGACAGTCACACATACAGCCAAATACACCCAACGTTTGTCTCCTGGATGTCCATGTTGTTCAAGATAGAGTCAGTGTGTTATCTTTGTGTTTGATGGACTTTTATGGATTTCTTTCGTGAGGTAGCTAAAGAGGGCCAAGTTCCCCCTTCAGGTGCGTGTGTATGACTTGATCAACACCCAGGAGATTCTCCATTCCTTTACACCTCCTACAGCCAAAATGAGTTCAAAGAGGGAGAGCATCCTTTTGCACTCACTTCACTGGTGCAAATGACTTTTTGAAATGCACCAGCAGATGCCACCAGCAGATCAAATGCTTACTGCTCTCAGAAGCAAGGTTTGGGTGTTAGAGTGATTTCCTTTTATCACTTTCCCATTGTAGTCTGAGTTGACATTTGTCCTCTTTTTTGTTGTTTTTTTCCTTATTTCATTACAAACTAAGGGCTCCAAAAGAATAAAAGGCTCATAAGGAAAGTGATTTTAATGCTCATAGGGCAAATTCCAGAGCTGCTTCTTCCATTTAAGTTATGTTAATTTAGAGTTTTTTCAGCTGGCAAAAGCTGGTGAAATTTGGCAACACAACTTTTACAAATACGTCAGCTGAGGCTACAACAGAGAAAGGGGAATAGGATCAGCAGTCCAAGGGTTGAGGTATTAACTTCATATCTGGTGAACTCAATTTGCCTTATGGCAGGCTTCTTGTGAAATTTCTTGGAGAAGTCAATGAGAATGTTTCTCTGGGGATATAGACAAGCAGACCTACCCTAAGCCTGGATAGTGCTAAATAACTGCTACGTGGAAGATATTGATCAGCATGAATGTAAGAGTTACCTCGTGCTACTGGTCCTTGTCCTGTGATTCATGTTAAATGAAATTGGTCTGACAATGTGTATTGTTCTTTTACGTTTGTGGTAACAGAAGGCAAGAAAACTTTTTAGATTTCATATGATATCTGATATTTTACTTCATAAATTAATACTGTATATGGAAAGAATACATGGACTGTGCTTCAGAAATAGGTACTGTAATACATATTTCATCTAGTGCTGAAAGATGCTAAGAGCCCTCACCACATCCAGCAAAACATGTCAGAGTGGCTAATTTCAGCTGAGTTCCACCACTGACAGCAGTGAAACCTCTTTGTTTAACTAGTTCAAAGTGTAGGATGAAGGACAGTGTAAAACCTTGGCTCCTATGGCTTGCTTTTTTGCTTCCTTAACTGCAGCCATGAAATCAAAAATTTGAATATTTGAAAGTAACAGAACTCTCTTCTTCTATTACTACTTATCTGTCAAATGACAGGTTTCTCCTGAGTGGAGGTGACATTTGTGTGATGTCACCTAACAAACTTAACTTCCCTGTTGTCTTTCTAAGGGAATTCCAAAGCCAGTAAAAAAGTAATTTAATTTAAATGAGAAAATATTACATCTGAACTGTAGAGATTAGACAGCAGAGGTTGAGGTCATTAATCTAATTACTCTGACATCCATGACAACATGGCATATCCAGAGCCCATCAAAATAGGCTAAGAAGGTAAATGGCTGTAGAAGGACATCAAGAACATTATCCTGAGGAATGAAGTAGAATGGATTCATCCTGAAAGTATTTTTCTTGCTGTCTGTGTACTACATTTTCCCTCCACATTCCCAGGAGAGAATCAAGGGGGTGGATTACAGGGGCATTGTTCATCTGTTCATGTTTGCAGGGAATCAATGGCCCTTTGGAGGTCCCTTCTGCACTATCAGGGGGAGCCCTGTAAAAAAGCCCAAACCCTGTCAACAAAGGTGACAGAGGACAGACTAAGCTGGTTCATGAGGAGGATAGAAAATTACTTCAAGACCAGCCCTAAGGCTGGTTCCACAGGACTCTAAAAGCACTATGCCATGCAGCTTGCATATTCATTAGTGTCACACTGCATCATATGTGCAAGCACAGAGCAGCTGCAGGATCAACATGTCTGAGAAAAAGTATTGGGACATGCATACTGGAAAAAAATACAAAAATACATAATATATTATTAAAAATATATCCTTTGCATTTCCTCTCGGATCAGGGTGAAGCTTACTTGTGAGGAACAATGTCCAGCACCTGCTGGCAGCCAGTATCCATGACCTTGCTTTAAGAATGGGAGTTCATCCCTTTTCTCTGACAGCAGAGCATCCCGTCATCATGACAGAAAGCACCATTTCTTCTACACACACTGAAGCACTCAAAAGGGCTCCTTTCTCATACCCCTGCTTTTACTCCATGAACTGCTGTGGGGCAAGAGGAGTATCTGTTGTTATTTGCAGGCCAGCTGTACCAGTAGGTCTGAGAATCTCAGTGAACTGTGGTCCTTAGAAGAGAAAACTAAGAGTGTTTGAGGCCAGACTAGCATTCCTAAATGGGGATGTAGCCTCATGAAGGTGGGCTCACGTAGCTGGTGGGCTCATGAGGATGTGTGCTGTCCAGAAAAGACCAATGCCTTTTGGAGAAACAGTAAGGCTAGCCCTGGGTTTGTGGATGGTCTTTAAGGCCTTTCACATCACACAAATTCTTTGGTTGGGTATTGCTCACTCTAGATCAGTTTTAAGTGACTTTCTCACTGAAATAATACATTTTGCAAGATGTAAACATGGTTCTAATGCTTATTCTTAAGATAGTGTAACCAGTTCTCCTTTGTGTGGGAAGTGTGTAATTTCAACTAAGGCAGTAAAAATGTATAAGAGTACAGACTGCTTCTTATTTATTAGACTTCTGTGTTATTTTATCATGATACAGGAAGTCATATACTTCAACTTGTAGCTTGCATGGATATGTGCATGACTCAGCTTAGACATGAGTAAGTGAAATGATTTAATGAACCTCCTCATCTACAAAGGCATTTTGGAGAAGAATGTCTACATTACTCGGCATTTTTGTGCACTTCCTGTTAAGCAGTGGAAAAAATACCAGCATCAAAAAAAGAGGAATAAAACAGAACAAATAATGAAATGCAAATAATTTAATGCTATTATAATGCTGCTAGTTAACATCAGGAGGGCATAGAAGTACACAATGTGCATATAAGTTAAAAAAAACAAGCAGTGCAAGATTAGGACAAGATGCTGCCATATGAATGGTGTAACTGTGGATTACAGGCAGAACAGTGATTTGACAGCTGGAATCAGTTTAATATGTTTAGAACCCTTGTAATCAAGAATGCAAAGTGAAAATCAAGGAGTCAAAATAGCTGAATGATTTTGGTCCTGGATTTCCAGCACTCCTCATTGCCTGACTTCAATCTTCAGAAAAACACAAGATACCTCATGTAAAAATCCTTTGTCTCTTGCATTTCTTTTAAAAAAGTGGTTGGTCCAATGGACCTTAATGGAACTTAAGAAGACAGAACCCCTTATTCAACATTCATGGAGTTCTTTAGTGGACTGGATGTCTGTCACTAGTGGAATAATGTTGCTAAATGTTTGAAACCTGGCAGGAAGACTAGTGGCAGCATTGTGTCAATGTCAGGGTGAAGCCAGACATGGATATCTCTTCACACAAACTATAAAGTTATTTAGTTTTTTTCATATAAAGATCCTGGGTCAGTGGTAGAGGAAGGCAGATATTTCTGAGTTATCTTTCCCATTGTTACAAAGTACAAAAGTGATCCCGTTTTTTGCAGTTACCTTAGATTTGAGCAAATTATAGTAAAGGAGTCAAAAATGAATTAAAAGCATTTCCCTTCCCTTAAACTTATTCTCCAAATCACAGACCTGAAACACATTATTTGGGATAGCATTGATAGAGATTTCCAGTAACTTCCACAGACATACTTGTGATAGTGTGTTGTAGGTGAAACAAATGCTTCAATGTGTTGCATGCCTCCCATTGTTTGGGGTTTTTTACCACATGATGGTCTGGGTGTTTTGCAGCAGTGGAAAGTGAATGGAAAGTTGGGATTTGACATCTGGATATTATACAGGTAATATCCACAAAACAGAGCAGCCCACCCAAAGCCTGCTATTCCTTCCAAGCATTTCAAATGCCCCCAAAATTCTTTTGTATATTAGATTAAATTATAGCTCATAGCTGGTGGCCTGTGTTTACTGTAAAAGATGAAGGGGTTTTATTGCTCTGAAGCTTTTGGGTAGCATGGAAACAAGAGATACTCTGTATCTCCCTGCTTGATGATGAACACTTGCATGAAGTACCAGGGGACTTACTGTCGTTCCTGGAGTAAAGAAACCCAGTGAAATAGATGTTCAGCAAAGTGGCATATCCCCCCAGTAATCAACAGTGCATTTGTTCACCTTGGATGAGGAGGTGCCCAACGACTCCAAAGAGTGACGAATTATTCTTTTAGCCATTTTGCACGTGTGCACCAGGCAGACAGTTTAAACCAGTGGATTCTGGATCCCCAAAATGTACACGCGAGGGCCACTTGTGGCACTTTGGTGCTGTGACAGCTCTTGCAGGCGAAGCAGTGCAGGAAGAAGCCAAGGAGTAAGCAGATCCCTTGCTCTTTGCTCAGGACTACCCAGCTGTCAGCACATCCAAGGTCCTTACGCTTGCAAAAGCCCTTTGGGGTTGTGAAATGCTTCACCTTTCTGCATGCTGGTGATAAGCCTTTGCTGTATCACCTCTAGGAGAAAACTTTTCCATGGTGGTCCAGCACAGAGGGAGAGCTCCAGTGTTGATGATGGGAAGGTCTGTGCTTTGGCCCATAGGGCAGGGGCTCTGTCCGGGGGCAAGCACACCCTTGATGGTTCTTGCTATCTTGCAGATGTGGGCAGGTAGAAAATGTATGCAAAAAATCCCTCCCTCCCAGCAACTCCCATCTCAGAGTGCTGAACTAAAAGATGCCCAATGAAATGAAGTGCAGGAGAAGCACAGCTTCCAAGAAAAACACTTAACCTGAG